ATATGTACAAAACGAATCAAGACATGCAGTTTAAAGTGAGGGTCAACTTTTGCTGCCCTTGGGTGTGTTGAGCAGCCTGTGTCCCGCCGGGCTGCAGGCTGCAGGAGGAGGAGGAGGAGGAGGAGGAGAGTTGAGACAGATGTGAAATAACGGTGCAGATATTTGATGCCTAATTTGGTTTTGCTAGGCGGGGATTTGCTTCTCTGAGGTGCTGGTCAAGTCACGGAGCCGAGGAGTCGCGATCTACGATTCTCTGACGGTGGATGTCCCGAAGAAACGAGACACTATATCCGCTGCAAAAGTACCAGAAAGGTAAACAACTTTTAGATCAAACTGATAGCTGATAGCTATATACAACTTGATGTCGTGATTTCGCGGTAAGGAAGCGTGTTTTGTTTTTTTAATATGTGCTGTAAGCGTTAACAAGTAACAGACCTCGTTCAGCTGCAACTTGTTGCATCTTGCAATCAGCAATTACAGTGTGTTTATTTGTGTGCATGCTTGAGGACATTTTCACAGTGTTAAAAAGTAAAGCTTGTGTTTCTTATTGTCGAAATAAATTTGGAAATGTAGCTAAAACACAACAAAAAGAGGTAAGAGTAAAAGAAAATATTTTACAGGACTACATTTATTTCTAAGTTGCATCTTGGTGTACTTATATACACATTATTGTACTTTTTTTGGTATTAATTAAAACAAAGGATCTTTGTGGTGAGAGACTTTGATGTTTTTAATATATATTTCCAGCCCAGTTTACAAAAACAAATTCAATTTTTGACATGTATTTCTGTGTTTGGGGTCAGTTTGTGTGTAGTGGGCTGTCGTGTGTAGAGTGGTGGGAGCAGGGTGCGGCAGGCGGCACACCCACCTTCACTGTCAATGAATGAACCTCTGCAGGGGCCTAACACACTCACACACACTGCTCAAATGCTCTATGGGGACATTTACTGGATTTAGGGTTACGGTAATGCCTGAATTTTATTGAAGACGATTCTCACCAACAACTTCTTCATTTAAATGCAGAAATTTATCCAAGATTCCCCCTTCGTTGCTTGGTCAGAAAAAAAGCAATTACCCAAGAACAGAGGAGAGATTTAGTATCTTGTGATGGTTTGCATGCTGTGCTCCAGTCCGACAAGAAAGAAAATCTGGAGGAAAATCCTGATTTTGTTTCAGTTTTTAAAAAGGTCAAATGTGAACACACAACACACCAGACACTAATATACCAACATGAATCTGTAACACACGCAGTTGGATGGTTTATCAACAGAGCTCGCCTTGTGCTTCGACCCACAGGTCCTCAGTAAGTGGATTATGGGTGAAATCGAGTTAGTGATGTTGTGTCATGACAACCAAACAAGCAGCGCACATGACTGCTCTGCCTGAGACAAACACTTGTTTCCTGAACATCCATGTGTGTGTGTGTGTGTGCGTGTGCAGGTCACACTCCCCTGCTGTCTGTATGAAAAGTGTGCAGAGGAACATGATGCGGTCATATCCTGTTTGCTGTCCTGTTGCAAGCCTGATGCGTGAACCTATTTGCAGCCCCTCTTCCATTTGGGGAAGTGCCCCTGTTTGTGTGATCCTGTCGTGTTTTCCATCCTGTGCTGTGAAAAGACACTTTTCCACACTGTGCTCTCCTTTATTTTCTCTCTCTTTTTTTCCTGTCTCCCCTCTGCCATTTTCCTCGGTCATTTCTTTCCTGACTTGATTCCACAAGCAGCAAAGTAATGGCGGGCGGGAGTGGCGGGATTGATTTTTCCATTACGACCCCTCCGTATACGTTTATTTTGAGTGGTTTACATGAAGCATAATTGGTACCCTGACTTTAAAGCCAGAGTGGGAGTATTGAGCTGGGAGGGAGAAAGAGGACAACTGATGGAAAAGAGAGGGAGTAGCCGCCAAATGGGACTATGAGGAGGGAAGGGAAAGAGAGGAAAGGAAAGAACTTGGCAAATGTGACAAAGTTAACAGTTGTTCAGCCGCAGCCAGACTGCAGCACATCTGGAACTCATCAGCGAGTTGGAAAATCTTACAAGAAATAAGGGAGGAGGCAGGGGGGGAGAGAGAGGGAGAGAAAAGGAGGAGTGGTGAAAGAAAGGGGCCCGGTTGGTGACTCACGTCTCTGCTATTCCACTCCATCACTGGGTTTAAGCTGTGTGTCCTTCTGTGGGGTGATACACAGGGCTTCCCCCGAGTTCCTCCCTCTTTTTACTCCCCTGCATCCCCTCCTCTCTCTCTTGGCTCCTGCAGGAGTCTTAGGGGTCTCTTTTTCCATTTCTCTCTCTTTTTTGTTAATTTCTTTTTATTCGTACCTTGCCACCCGGTCAATTTTTTTTTGCCTCCCCAGCCTCGACTATTTTATAGATGTTTAATGGGAGTAATGTAAACAGGACTTTTCTCCTTGTTTATAACTGTGTCCCTGTGTAAACTGGGAACGGGGAATGCAACGCTTGTGGAGCCAAGTGGGTGATGGGTGTCAGGAGAGACGGGAGGGAGGACAGCCAGTGTGATCCGAGGGTTTCTGCACTGTGAAAATGTCCATCTTATCCTGTTAAATGTGATTTTATGGCTGAAAATTGTGTTTCTCTGAGAGCAGATGTTTCAAGATGTTTTTTTTGTGAAGCAAGGAACAAAAAACATTGGTAGTTGAGTTCTTGTCCAGAGCGAACATCAGCTGCAGTCACTAGGAAAAAATGGACTCTGCATTCTGCAGCAACGTTCAATAGAAATCCATCGTAGAGGAGGAAGAGGAGATCTGTACTGCAGTAAGCTCATTAGATCACAGTGAATGCAGTTGCACAACAAGTTGCAGTTTGAGTCATTTGTATCAACTGAAACAAACCTTCACTTCCTTGCAGTGGGCACAGATGAATGCAACCACTTTCACACCTGAACTCGTGTGTTGCTGAAAATATGAAGCCTGGAGTTTAGTTTGGCGCAATTTGGTCAAATCTCTTTTAGCATGCGAGCGAGCAACAAATAAATCTGAGTGTTATGTCCAAATCAAGCAAACTAGAGAAAAACTAGAGCTGAAAAAATGAGTCAAATAATCGATTAGCTCATCAAAAGCTATTTTGAAACTGCAATTTATCCTTCACTAAGTCCCGCCTCTTGAACACTGGCCAAGCCTTGTGTAGCAACGGAGTCAATTTAAAAGTATATATAGTTGTACGTTGAATATGTGACAAAACAACCAATTTGAAGGACAAAACCATTATTAATTTAATAAAGAAATATTCAACAGACAAATCGAGGTGCAGCCAAAACATATTCCTAAACTAGAAAGGAGACTGTAACTTTTAAAAGAGGTAGTAGCACATTCATCAGTCTCACAAATGAGCAGTTAATTTCATAAGCAATAAAACACACCCTAGCTCAGTCCAACAAACTGGTGTGACCAGCAGTGGTTTGCTTTATGACTCTTTTCCACTTGTGCTACTGTTACAATTTACCATTATCCTTTAATTGTCTCTTGTGGCTACAGTTACAGCTTTTTCTGCTAAATTTACAGAGTAGATGTCAATTTTATATATTTTACCAAGTAAAGGAAATAATCATCTACTAAACTCTTGGCAAAAATATTAAAAAGATACTTTGAATTGTGAGATGTTAGAGGTTTTCTCTTGGCAGTTACATATGGTAAACAAGCTGCATCTGAAAGTACGTTTGTGTTAACTTTAAATGTATGCCATGCTGCTTGGTTGAAAATCATTTTGGAAGTGGGGGAAACATGCAACTGAAGACGGACTTGTCAAGCCAGTTGAGAGATGGAAGGAAGGAAGGAAGTTCTTCCTCAGATAAAACAAAGTACAAAACCCACATTAGTTAAGGTTACAATAGTAATCCCTAGACCTAGCAGTGTAGAGGTACAGTTATCTTTAGAGCTTCTGAAAACATAACGTCTATTTCTCTACATAACATTAAATATTCATGACTAAATGAACAACAATCACACTTAAAGTTTGGCATAAAACATCTCAAGGTGTTATTCATAAGGAGTTTAAAACAAATCATAAATGGCGCACTGAAGTACGTGACATCATCTCTTTCCAACTGAGCCCCGCCCACTTCAAATAGCATTAAAAAAACAGCAACAAATCTCTTACGTGAAATAACCAAAAGTGTTTTTACTTTGGCATCTTTGTAAGAGTAGGTTTTCAGGCCCTTAAGATGCAGTTTCCACAATAAAGGTCAGAATTTTAGACCCAGCAGCGCTGGATTCAAAGCCATGTTTTACAGATTTCTGATTATCTTGCCGTGTAGCTGAGGTCCCTGAGAGTCGGGGTGGAACAAGTGAAGAGGGCCATGTTTAGAGCACGATGACAGACACACTGTGGGGTCGGTGGAGGTTGCGGCGCCACACCCACTAGAGGACATGAGCATGGAGGAATGTCAGAGTGAAACAGTCTGCTCTCTGCTCAGAAATGCTGTTGAGAAAGCAGTCTGAACTTTGATGCGGGGGCAGAAAGTAACAGTGAAGAAGGAGGGAAGTGTTCACCAGATGATTTGACCAGAGGTAAATGTGGTGCGAGGAGCGTGACCACAATTCAGTCATTAGTTGTGGTTTTAAATTGTGTTCTCACAGTTTCACATAAAAATACAATAACAGCATTGTGTGTTTTTCGGAAAATGGCATGCAGGAGTGCAGAGCCTGCTTAAGCCCTCATGTGGATGTATCATGTACTTCATTTCAGGTCACGAGAAATTACATAAACTCTTAAAATCTTGCTAACTAATTCTTTTCAATGTTTTTTTTTCTTACAGTTTTCTCTGCCTTCTCTGAGTGGTATAAATCTGAGGAAGTGACTCCCAACACAGGAACCATTTCAGCTTCTCACATCTCCTAATACATCATGGCTATAGTCCTCCACTCCAGCCCCCTCCTATGGACACGGCTGGCAGCCATGATCTTCGCCTGCGTGGCCTTCTCCTTGGCCGTGCATGGAGGCAGACTCCACCACGGCACCGGAGACTGGTGCATCTTCTGCTGGGCCTTCAGTTTCGCCGGGAGTCTGCTCGTCCTCCTGATAGAGCTCTTCGGCCTTCAGACCAGAGCTCCTGTTTCCTGGAAGAACTTCCCCATCACCTTCGCCTGCTACGCCGCCCTGCTCTGCCTGTCCGCCTCCATCATCTTCCCCCTCTACTTCCTCAAGGGCTCCTCGGGCCAAGGTGAAGTCGGCACCTACCGCATCGTGACAACCGTCTTCTCCTGCCTGGCTACCATCGCCTACATCACCGAGGTGAGCATCAGCAAAGCGCGTCCGGGCGAGGTGGCCGGCTACATGGCAACGGCCCCTGGCCTGCTGAAAGTCTGCGAGACCTTTGTGGCCTGCATCATCTTCGTCTTCATCAGCGACCCCGTGGTGTACGACCGAAACCATGCGCTCAAGTACTGCATGTCCGTCTACTGCATCTGCTTCATCCTGTCGGCGGCCATCATCCTGCTCTGCATAGGCGAGTGCACCGGCTGCCTCCCCTTCCCGTTTGCACGCTTCCTGTCTGCCTACGCCCTGCTGGCCGTGGTCCTCTACCTATCAGCAACCATTGTGTGGCCCATCTTCAACTTTGACCCCAAGCATGGCGGTTCAAAAGATAGGCCCCACTTTTGCAACACCGAGCTGGGGTTGTGCAGTTGGGATAAGCTCATGGCTGTGGCTGTGCTCACGGGTGTCAACTTCATCCTTTACCTAGCCGACCTGATCTACTCCACCCGCCTGGTGTTTGTCAACGCTTAAGGGAGGAGAAAGGGTGTTAGGCCAGCAGTATGCTCCAAATAAAATTTAATTTGGCTGGTTTTCAAAGGCTGTCGAACTGCTGTCAAATACAGTGGTGCGAGCAAATGCTAGTGTAATCACTGCGACTCTGGTCTTGTTTAACGGCATCCACGTGACGGAGCGTGATGGGAGCAGACTGTGGAGTTAGACCACAACGGGTATAGTTTATTGTGTTGTTATCTAGTAGGACTTCATTTTGAAATTTGAATATTGAAGGATTTGATTTTAGCATAGTACTTGTATAACAAAATAGTAGGAGAAGTAGAAGGGGCCCAAAGTTCTTGTGTAATGGCAGACTCAGGATCTATTAACTATCTCCAAGTTCAGCTGGTCAACCTGGGTAATTATACCAAAATGTTGTGGGTTCTTTTGTCCCCAGACTCACAGTTTTGTCTCTGCAAACCTGCCAAATTTGATTTTGTGTAAAGTGTACTGCTTCGGGCCTTATAGAGAGAAAGAGAGAGAGAGAGAGAGAGAGAGAGAGAGAGAGAGAGAGAGAGAAGAGGGAGAGGTTGAGGTCAATGGCTATGTTTACACATACAACAATATTCCCTTAACTAAATTACTGAGGCTCTCTGTTCATGTGTTGGAGCATGTCGATGTCAAACCTTGCTTCCAGACTCTAATCTTGATAATGAGAGACCTGAATGTGATTGCCGGATCTTTTTTTCATTAACGGCAGATCATTGCCCATCGTAAAATACAAAAATACAAGATGTTTAGGATCTGGATATGAGTAAGCTATTTAAACTCTTAACAAGGATACAACCTAACATCCCAAATATATGCATGTAAACATAGTCTGTAATGACAAATGCAGAAAAAACAAAGAAAACGGCGGCTTATTATAGTGTTTTTGTTCGATTTCCTTTTTTGCATAATGTATGTCAGTTATAAAAAAAATGCCGATCAGTATTTCTGTTTGTAATCGCTAGAGGACAAAATGTAGAAAAGATAATGAGCTGTTAAGAGCTAAGATAAGTTAACTGTTGGAGAAAATATTTGAATGTCATACAAATGGAAATCCAAGACTTTCAAGCAAGTTCTGTTTTGTTTTTTGATGATTTCGTTAATGCAATTGACTGTTTTGTCTTCCCAACAGTATGCAGAGCACCTGATCAGATTGTACTGTTTATGTCATTTTTACACGGCTCCAATGCTGTTACATTTAAAGAAGAGCAAAAATAGTTTACATGTTGTTAAGATGAATGCTATGCTACCTTTTTGCTCCTGTTATGATATATGTGTATCTGTATCTGCAAGCTACAATCAATGGCAAGAACATATATAAGTGGAAAGAACATATGCAAGAAAAAACAAGAAAAGTATGTTTAAAGTGCACTTCGTATTAGTATTTTCTATGTGTGTTTAAATGTCTGGTGTCTCCAAATATCAAAGCATTCATTAACACCAAACTCACACCACTAAATTGATATATGTTTTCAATTGAGTCTATTGGGTTTGTACTGCTGTAATAAATACTCGGAGAAAGAGACCAAAAAAGATGCTTCTCTCACTCTAAATGGTGTAAGTGTTATATTCTTCAGCTTTTTTATATTTCAACTGTGCATACCACATCAGTGTTGTGTGAAAATAATCCAGTGTGTCAATAAAACCAAATGTTAGACAGATGTGTGTGTGTGATTGGTTGTATTGTTTTAAGTTAAAGGACCAGTGTCTAACGTTATGAGAGATTTATTGGAATATAACTATGTTTTTATTAATGTATAATCAGCTGAAACTAAGAAACGTTGGGTTTTCCTTTCCTTAGAATGAGCCGTTTATATCTACATACTTCCATATCTGCAGTACACATTTGAGCCACATGTGGGAGCCTCAATGTTCATACTTCTGGTAATTGTAACCTACTTATAACATCGCATCTAATGTGAAAGGCTAGCGCACATTGTTTAACTGATGAGATAAAAAAGACGGCGGCCTGTTCACCACCTAAATGGATTTATTTGTTTTCATTTATATAGTATTAACACATGCATTAAACAAACGTTGTATTTATCAAATATCTCTATGAAATGGATGGGATACCTACTCAAGATAATATAAGTCATTAAAAATGGTCAGGAACATTAGTTTCCGCACAAATTTGCTCTTCTCACACTTTATAGATATGAAGGTTTGACCCCGGAAAAAAAATTTGAGATACACAAGCTAATTGTACAATAGGTGGCACTAACAAGCCTAAGATAGCTTTAATTGTCTCTAGTTGTCATATACAAGTGACATAAATGAATTAACTTTAAGAGAATAAAGCTGATTGTTTGAACTGAAAGTAAACCGAGTATAAATCTGCATCTGCTCCATGCACACTATTTATACTTGCCTGTTTACTTTATCTCTCAACAAACTATCTACTTCCCTCACCCCCTCCCTTCAGATCCCTTCAGCTCTCTGCAGACTCTAGTGCTCCACTACGGGGGCTTCGGTGTATCTCAGAGCCTCGGCTGTCAAGAGGATTGATGACTTGTGACCGTCGCTTCTGAGGGGAGGAGTGCAACACTGTGAACATTTTAGTCACCTATAAATCTATGGCCAGGAAAGGAGACACCCAGTCATGACACAATGACATGACATGAAGTTTATTTTGTTTAAGGAAGGGTTGTACCCTCTGACATGGGAACACGGCTACAACAGCAAGACCAGCCACTGGCAGGTTCAAAATGTGTGTGCCTGGATCACAATGCAGGAACACTGTTACTCAACTTCATAACTCATTATTGAATTATTGTACATATATATATATATATATATTTAGCTTATGAAAAGTGAGAACAAAGCATATCAGGCTGAGAATATACATTTTGCATTCTACTGTAGATTTTTAACATGATCTTCAAGTTTAGTTTTTACTTCTGCCAGATATCCCAAACAGACAAATGTAGATTAAAGTAGGTTTTTACATAGACATTGTTTTTTATCAAAAACATTATGTTTGATTTAATCAATATATATCTGATATTCTTTGTTTGGCAGTGTAATCCTCCTGATTTCTTCTTCCATTTAAAGTTTTGTTTAAATGTTTTTGTAGCATATTTGTCAACATTTCAGGTTATGTATCAAACAACACATCAGGAAAAGTGCCTTCTTCATACCTCCTTGGCAATCTCTGCTGGCATGAGGTGAGTCTGCACTACTTTTGTCTGTTTTACACCATCTCCTAGAAAGCCTTGCTACTGTTATAGCGAGAAAGTCCTGTGGGGAGTGGCCTTCCTCCTTAAGTAACTAAATTAATTCTTGGCCTACCTCCTACTTTGACCCATAAAAAGAACAAAGAGAGCAAGTCATCAGCACTACAATCGCTCGATACAATCCTCAAATGAAAGAGTCCATAGAAAGAAATCTGTCACAAATGCAGCATCTCGTTTCCAGTCTTCAAGCGGATGTGTTGTTCTCAACACAAACACGAGACAAGTGTGTAACAACAAGCACACTGGAATGACACCACAAGTCTTGATTGAAAACATATGATACATTGGAAGAGACACAGAGATGTGCTGAGAGCTTGGAAGTCATTCCTTCAGTGCTGAGGCTCGTCTTCCCACACAGATACGTACTTCCCTCTTCTCTTTCCAAGCCACACGAGTGACAAACAGCTGTGCAAGCTGTTTGTGAGAAGTCATTTAGTTGGGTTGTTCCTTAATATGATCATTTTATTTCAACACTCTGTCCTCTGACCTTACATTGACTATTGACTGTGTTGTACAAATGATTTCATGCTATCCTTTGGTTTTAAAGGGAAATTTCACCAATACTAGTACTAGTACTGGCACTGGTCAGTCTGTGACACAACAAGGTGTGGTTTCATGCGTGGGACTACTTCTTCTCCAGGTTTAGTCACTTCCTCTCTGCTGGTTGCCTAGCAATTTCACTGTAACTTCGGAAGCAAGTTACTGCTCCTGGCCAAGAAATAGTCCCGCACATAATCCCCCATAAAGCCATTTGTCTTTTGTTTTTCATACTTTGTTTTTTGTAGATTCAAACAAGATATGACACGTTAATTAGTGACTACTAGTGTGTCAAGCAGGCAGCAGCAGCCCGGCTGCTCTGCGTGATTCCCGCATACCTCAGTGATCAGTTAGTGTTCCTATAGTCACTGATCCTATAGTTAGCGTGTCTTTTGGGATTCTAGCTTTCCACTGATGAAGGCTAGGTTTAGACATAATGGTCCATTCTGTTTTCTCATAGGCTCTTTATGATCTAATGCAGGCATGTCCATTAAGGGTCCACATGGCTGCTGTTTCATGAACCTGTATATGTCGGTCAGACTGACTCAATGAGTTCACCGTCTGATGTTTGATAGTATACCTCCCCCTGGTGACAATGTGAGTGACTTACTGTGAGAGAGACACGAGGATAGGGGATTATAAATTAACACAACAAGTTATGATGTAAGAAATGTTTTGGCATCTTCAGGTGGGATTTTTAATGCTGTATTTTAATTATTGAATTAATGTATGCAAAATAACTTGAAGCACCCTGGTGCAGGAAACACTGCTAAATGAAAATTACATATTTGAGTAGGTCATTCAGCAGCTTTGAAAGTCAGGGTGACCGTGCTTGTCTATTCATAGTCTGGGAAACTATGCTACACAGATAATGTACTGTAATGATAAATAAAGTTGATGTGTTTCTAAACATTACATCAAGGGACCATGAAGTAAAGAATCTTCTACATGCTGGTTGCTACAGAATGTATGAGACTTACATTAAATCTTGAAACAACAGAGTCACAATTGCGGTCACCAAACTTCACGGTGCTCAAAGTTTTAGGGAAATTAATTATTTCCAAGTATTTCTATGGGAATTGTATCGTTAGAGCACTGTGTCTAAATAAAGGAAAAGTTTTACACCAAATGGCCGTGCAAACCTTTGGTCTCTAAAGATGACTAATAAACAAATAGATTATTTTCAGCAAAGGGGAGTGCATTATTTTTTTCTTCCCTTCTATTATTTGCTGCCACATTCACCTCTCATAAACTTTCATCGTGTAACTACCTTTCCTGAGCTGCAGCCAGAGAGGAAAAGAAGGGAGCTGGAAAAGCGAATGTCATGATTGAATTACGGCTTCAGATTCCAACAGTAAGTTCTTCTTAAAAGATGTTCAAAGCTCTGCACCGACTATATCTATCCCTTACCAATAAGGCTTTTTCAGTCTGAAGCTCCCAACATGCCCATTTATGGCTGCACTGGACCATTTAGACCCATAAAACTGTCAAGAAAACATATAATGGGGCGACCGTGGCTCACTGGGCTAAGAGGGTTGTCTGGTAACCACAAGGGCTGACTGGGACGTGTCACGTGTCGAAGTGTACCTGAGCAATACACTGAACCCCAGGCTCCCTGGGCGCCTGTCATTGGCAGCCCATTTTTGGGTCAAATGCAGAGACAAATCTCCCCCTTAACGGGATCAATATAGTATAAAAAAAAAAGAATTAAAAAAAAAAATTAAATTAAAAATATAATGCTACTTTAGGGTCTTTTTTTTTGTTAGGTTGGTGTATTTTTACTGCCTTTGCTGTTTTGCAATAATTAAACACTTTTTGTCTGTCTTTCTCGTAGCCACGCTCCTTTTAGTGGAGAAAGTACACATATCAGAAAATAAGACCTGTGAAGTTTTACAGCAGAATGAGTGATTTCTCAAACAGTTGCTGATTTATGGACTGTTATGGCGTTCCCGGTCCCGAGTCCCCCCAGGTGTCACTGTTCTTCAAGACAAACCTGCTCGGCTTCGAGAGGATCTAACAAACTATTTCTCATACAAACCTTTCAAACAGCTCTAACATTCACAGACTGGTCACATCATCCTTTCATGAGGTCAAACTCCCTTTTGTCTCAACACTTTACCTTTTCACCGAGCACAGGCTCAACATCTATTCAGATAACTTGAGTCATTGTCTTACGTTGATTTCTCAGTTAAGTCTTTGCCAAGTTTAGTCATTTTCTCTTCTCCTAAGTCATTTAACTAAGCTACTACTCCTAAATCTGGCATTGCAGAAAAAGAAAATCAGAGATAATTACCGCCATTTGCCACAGGAGCCTAAATCCTGTCGCCATTATTCAGAAGATTTCCATCACGTCCAGGAACTGAGCAGAAAAATGTGTTATTACTGCAGGATGGATTAAGTTTCTGCTGGTGCAATCTCAACATAAAGACACTTCAAGGAAAAATAAACAATTGAATCTCTTGAAAAAAACAACATATTTAAATAGTTAGCTGGGATTGTAGAGAATACGACATCTTCCAAAATATGTTATTGAGCCATTTCGTTTTCCATAGTGACTTAGCCTTTTTCCTTCAGTCCCTTTATTCTAGATTCACCCTGTATGAGTGTTCATTTTGTTTGTTTTTTGCAAGAAAAACACACGAGACACAACAAACCTAAGTGCTTTCTTGTATAATTTATATTGAAAACATGTCAAAAACATTGGTTTCCCTTTAAAAAACCACATAAAAGAGTTACCTGTGGTCATTTTTACAACAGTCTCCTGGTAACCGCTCTGCCAATATCACAAGAAACTGGAGCGATGGATCCTAATATCAAAGTGCATAATAGATTTAAAATGATGCTGATGATATGGAACAGGGGTAACGAGCTGCTCTGAGCTCAGTTTGGCTGGTTGTCCATCTGTGAGGCTGACTGGAAAGACTGGATGTCCTCCCCGATATACTCCGTCACTGTGGAAGGAAAAGAGAAAATGACTCCATCCTTTTATCCACCTCATAACCCAACATGCCATTGGTGCAGCTTGTTCAGCTTACTTATGGGATCAAAGGTAATCAACGTGTATGTATTGACCTGTAAACAATCTTATAGTCTTTTATTTGGAAAGCAGCAAGAAAAGAATGCATCATTTCAATAACTTGTCACGTCCTAAACAAATCTCTCGGCTATGTTGATTTTCACGGCAGCTCAATAGTGCACATATCAAATGAAAACGAAAGATAAAATGCTACTTTGGCCTCAAAAACAACTCTGTCTGATTGTCACTTATAGAGAAGAACAAGTAACAGTCATCATTACTTTAAGAATCATTCAAATTGCCATTAAGTTTGCCAAATGTCTTCCCTTCTGATGGAGAGTGTAAACCCAAATCACACAGTTTATCTCTCTGTTTGTTTGAACTTTAACCCCAGTGTTTTTGAGTCTGCAGTTAATCGGTAACTGACAAAGTATTGACTACCAGGACAGGTACGACGAGAAAGTATGGAGGGCATCTCCAACCAAAGCACGAATGAATGGAAATCTTATTTAAGTTTCAACAAAAAAATAAATGATATATAAATGATAGTTTTAAATGTATATCTATGGTGACATCACAGACACTGAAATCGGTTGCTGTCTTATTAAACTAATAAAGAGCTGTGCACAATCTCCTTTATTTAATCTCATTATGTTACAACACATTCATCCTCCCACTCATCCATACATACATAATACATAATAACATTTCTTTATGGTCGCTGTATGTCCTTTACAAGTCTGTAATGCAGCCTTGTTCATCCTCTCAACATCTGCACTCATTAAGATAAAGACAAATTTGTGCAACTCACCTTCTTCAAATGTGATGTGGTGCATAGAAGAGCTGGTAAACTCCAGGGGACACTCCTGGATCTTGGTATCCCTATCTCCCCCATGTCCCATCCCGAGCACCCTTCCCTGGGGGTCCCAGCCCTCGTAGTGGGAGTAGGGTGCTGAGTACATGTCCTGATATGGGCTGGGGTTGGAGGGAGGTGAGGGACACGCATCCTGAGGATAAGCAGAGTACTGGGGGTAAGGGGAGGTGGGGATGGGAGGCAGAGGGGAGGTCGAGATGGGACTGCCGGCAGGAAACGGGCTGAGAGAGGAGGAGTGGGAGGGAGAGGGCGAGGAGGAAAGGTAGGGTGAGTCCAGCCACGGGGAAGGGGAGGGGGAGGGAGGCTGCGGGCCGCGGGGGTATAAGGGGGGAAGGAGCTCGGTGAAGCCCAGCTCCAGGTTCTCGAAGCTGGGGTGACGCTCGGACAGAGCCGCCCTGGGCTCCTCCACCACAGCGTCTGGTTTGGAGCAGTACTCCTCGTGGTAACCCATAGTGGGGATGGGAGGGGAGTAGGTGGTGGGGTAGGGGGGCAGGTGGAAGCCCAGGCCTCGTTCGTCAGCCCTGGGGTCGCCTCTCACGGGAAAGCCCCCGTCCATCCTGGGTTGACCCCCCACAGGACACACAGTCCCCCCATCCAGAGGCAGCACAGAGGGCCGGGACAGCAGCGGGTCCTCCTCTTTGAACATAACTGTGAGCAGAAGCAAAAACTGTTTAACTAATGGGTGGAAATAATGTTTTAACATTTTTTTACTCATTGTTCTTCTTTGAATGTTGTATGATATTTTTGTATATTATGACTTTTTACGGGAGTTTAATCTGTTAATTCTCTCAGAAATAAAGGTAGCGCCACATTTCTTTTAATTTTACATTTTTTATGATGTTTTTTAACTATTTATTCTTATCATTTATATTAATGGATAGGTCTAATTAATTTTTGGAAATACAAACACAAAGGGACAGAGGAGAAACAGAGGTGAATAAGGTGTGATTGGACACTCACTGGGGAGATACTTGAAGCAGTGAGTGCTGCTCCTTTTCCTCTTCCCGTTGGAGACGTAAAGACTAACTGACATCGGCCGACTGACGGACAGGTCGCTGTAGGCGGGGACTCTCACGCACAACAAACACTTTAAAGAAAGATCCAGGATTTACTTTATTGACCCACATTGTTGGAATAATGGATTGGGCTTCTACCGAAATGTATATGCTGCATCCACAAAACATATTAATAGAAGGGTAAAACAGCTGCAGGACACAAGACACATATCGAAAGACATAACAAAAAAAAAAACCTCCTCATTTATCTGATATGCTAAAGAGGTGTGGACACGGACTATTACAGCTGCTTTAGTTGTATCTCAATAGAATTAAAGCTCCGAGATGAAAAGTTCATGTTGTTGCAGAGACTTGTTCAGAATAGGACTTATATTACACATGCAAAATTACCTCATTGCTGTTGTCACGGTCAACATGAGCCTCCTCCTCCCACTGCAGTTTACCATCTAATAGATGAGAACATGAAGTAGAATTAAGTGTAACCTAGATACACACACAAACACATGAACACACAGGCAGTTTAATGAGTGTAATTTGCTCTGACTGTGTCGCAGGTAACGTTAAAGCTTTTGTGAAACAGGTTGGTTCAGCTCATGAAGCAGTCTCCACGGAAAAAAACTCTTTACTTCAACTGAGAATACAGAAAGACTGGAGCCAGACATGCAAAAGAAGCTGCTTGTTTTGAAACATAAAGAAAAAGATGTAAGAGTCCAGAACACTGTATTGAGCTGTATTGATCTACACTGAGCAACTCAATAAGAAAATAACAGAAAATAAGCTAGCCAGATAACATTGGATTTGGGGTGCACTATTCAAAACGGAATGCAACAAGCTGAATTGTTATTACCTTAAATATTACTGAAATAAATTCAAACGAATTTTCAGTCTCAGTGATCAGATCTGAATTGTATCACTGTTTTTTTTTTTCAAGCAGTGAACAACAACTATTTTTTGGTAACTTTATAATTTTGTCCTCATCGCAATTCTATATTTTTACTGGCTTCATTTCAGTCAACAACTCATCAAGATGTTAGAGGCAAAAGATCTGAAACATTAGAGAGGATAATGTCTCCTCTGTGGACCTTTACCTGTCCCTCGCTCCATGAAAAGGACCCTGGAGATTGGCAGGAAGTTAGAGCCGCTTAGCAGAAGCTCCTCCCCTCCCTCCACAGAGCAGGAGGTGAGACTGACGGACTCGATGACGGGCAGCTCCTGAGCCGAGCGCTGGGCTGAGGTAGGGAGAGTCAGGCAAATTAAACCACTGAATGTTCTCCCAATTTAAAGCTACTGCAAGGAACTTTCATTCTGTGTTGATTTTGGCGGTCCCTGTGGACAAATGTGGAAGTGTTTCCGAGCACCAGAGTCCTTTTAGAAAACCTCTTATTCTACTGCAGCAGGGGTCCTGATGGCACCGACGATAAGCATTAAGAATAACTATATAGAAATAGACAATATTCTCTCTGATGGTCTCGTTTACTTATGTAGGTCCGATAGAGGCATAAGTATTAAAGTGAGACTGTTCCATAACCAGTTTAAAGCTCCTTATAGTAAATTTAAAGCCAGTATGTCTTAAAAAATAAATGTCTGGCAATGCATGCCACAGATCTTACATTATGTGGCTTTAACAAACTAATTCGGTAAGTATTAAGTAAAGGTGTATTCTCTACTCACAGCATTCGATGGCCAAGGAGGCAACCTGCAGAGCCAGGACTCGACCAGGCGGGCCGACAGGGGGCGCTAGAGGGAGGTGGGTACGAAACACCAAACGGACACGTGTGTTCTTCCTCCCAACGTCTGTTTCTCCTTTCCTCAGCTCAATGTCCGAGTTCCTCAGCTTCAGAATGCCAGCACAGTCGATGCTGCGACACGATTTGTAAAATTAGTTGTTTTTTTTTAGTCACACTCTTCAACATTGGTCCATTAAAACAATACAAATGATAAGTCTGCTTCCCAAGTATAAACTGTAGACTTCAACATAGTCTTGAAACTGAAGTACAAGGCTGAAAAACATGCACAAGTCTCTTTTGTACTCACAGTGCACTCATGTTGTTCTCAGGGTTGAGGGGGATGTCCAGCAGTTTGGTCCCCGCCTGGACGCTCTCATGACTGGCAGTACCCACCATCTTCCCTGTCACCCTGAGAGAAAAGAAACAAGTCGATGAATTAAACATCCCTCCTGTGATAGACTGGTTCCCTGTCCAAGAAGTACGCTGCCTCGAACAAATTTAATTTATTGACAATTAAAAGGTGGATAGGAAACAGTAGCAGAGAGAGGGCCATGTGAAATGGTGCCCGGCTGGAACTGAAGCGGCGACGTTGTGGTTATTTGTCATGTGAAATTTTTCAGCAACCAAGGCACTCCATAGAAACAAATAACATTGTGCTAAGGAAAATGTCCAGATTACTAAAACACACTGGAATAGAGACAAATAGTATGCTGTTAACATCCAAAATATACCTCATAGATGGCAAAGAACTGTGTGCAGCATAAACTAGGACATTAAGAAGCTACATGTCTTTGCGGTGGTTTTACATCTTCTACGTTAATCTGATGTTCTCCTCCAGAGCACGTTACATTGAGAACAACTGTTGCAAACAAATTCCTGGACCAACACTAGAAGCAGCTGGTGGTAAGTTATGCAATTTTCAAAGCCACAGTGGTCAGATGATAAATATACAGAACACTGTGTCCCTTGAATATTAATGTATGCTTGGCAATAGGTTTGATTTTAAATAGAAGTACAGTTCAGTACCTGTGTATCTGATAGAAAGGATGCGGCCTGATTGATCGGTCGTCAGCTGTTCCAACGAAAACTTGAAGGGAGAGCGGCTTCCTCTCTGTGTATCCACACAGCTGTACAGAGACACATGGCGTGAGGGGTGAAATCAAACTGTGACGAGGCCAACAGCAGTGAGCCACAACATGTGTCCTGAGACTTTGTTCCGGTGTTTTGAAAATACAACATTCAAACTAAAGTCCTACTTCAGCTTCGATAGAAATTACATTTAATATAAGTCAATCAGAGCTGTTAAATCATTTGCAACTACATTATGAATATTTGTTTGTTCAGCATTTCTAAGCAAGACATTGGTTCCAACAAATCACTGTCACTTTCAGCAGCTTCCTGAATCTGCGGGTTTGGGTTTCACCTTGACGATAGGATGTCCTGTTGGTGTTGCCTTGACAGCTCCTCTGCTCCCCTCTGTCTCGTAGTGGGCTCTGTGGTGTGGACGGGGGTGCACCTCAATACGCAGCTCGTACTGGTCAAACTGGGACGGCAGCGGCCAGTCGAGTGGCGGCAGGGCATTAGACCTACAGGTGGATTGGATGGACAGTAACGCTGAGCAGGGAGCAGACTAGCGAATGACTAGTTTTGCAGACCAAGTAATGAGATGTTCATATATAATTTACACATGTAAGCATGATGTGCAATGGACTTTAGGGATTTAGTCAATTGAATGAATAAATGCTTAATAATACTGTAAGTATTCAAATGTACATGCTAATCCCTTTTGCAAGAACAGATGCAACCACAGTGACATGCTGCAAGCATATCACCTGCTGCATTGTGAGCTGATGTTGAAGATTTTTTTTTTTATACTATGTTTTTCTTTTTCTCTTTGCATGCTATTTTTATATTTGGGAAACTATTGTCATATCATGAATGTTGATCTTCAAACTGGGTTTTTATTGAATGGATATTCTCAGATATGTAGGTTGTGTATCTTTGCCTGAACAGAGGGCTGTGGGCGCTGGCTCGAGTCCGGCCCCAGGCGAGAGCAGGAGGCACAGAGAGGTAGTCCATGCCCAGCGAAGGGGGCTCTCTCCTGGTCTGCTGGGTCTCCAGCAGCGGGCAGGGGGAGCTATGGCCTGGAGCCTGCTCCTGATCCACCTCCCTGGATGACAACTGGAAAACAAAAAGTTTTTTTATATATTTTAATCATCCCTCACATTGAGAGATGAACACTTTTGAGAGACATGAAACCAAGCCAACGTCTTCACCTGTTCTAATGACGTCTTCCTGGTTTTCTGTGGGATGCTGAGCTCACAGCTGCTGGGTGGAGCTTGCGACTGAGGGGTGGAGTCTCTACCCTCGAGGTTACATCCCTGCAGTTCTTCTGAGTAACTACCCCTCCGTGAAGTACAAGGGGAGACCAGGGGGGAGTTTCTACGTTTTTTACCCCCGGGAGAAGTCGGCCTTGAGGACGGCGAGAGCCCGAAATTGATGGTGGCCTCGTTCAGCTCCTCCTCCTCCACCAGCAGGGAGTCACAGCTGGAGGCGGGGCTGAGCCAGCCGCGGGAGGAAGGGCTGGAGCCGGGGCTGGGACTCGGGCTGAGGGAGCCGGGGCATCTGTCGCGGTAAGTGAAGGGGTCCAGCAGGGGGAGGTAGAGGCGCTCTCGGTCCCACCCACCCCCACCACCCATGTCCCAGTAACTGGAAATGGTTGGTGCTAGGTCGTCTTCAGGGGAGATGGTGGTTATCTGGATGCTTGGACACTCGACCACATAAGACTCTGAAACCTGGAGGGAAGATGAGAGTGAGGAAGAGATACCTTTAATTTATGACACTCACTTGAGAAAATTACAAATATTTAATAATCAGGTAATTTATCAGTCAAAATGCCAAATATTGTATTTTTATAGTATATGTACTTTTTTTCCAAACCTAAATTAAGGAATTAAACAGAATCCAAAAGTAGTTGATTGAAGATGAAAAACATAATTAGCTGCAGAGCTAATTAGTTGCAGAGCTATCACCAGTGTTTGGATTAACAACTGTTTGGATTGGCTGTCTGGAAGGTAAGAAATCCACCTAAAAACCCTTTAATATGATTTTGTACTAATATACCTTACGTCAAGGTTTTGCACAGTTCTCCCAGCTTCACAAGCAACTTTCTCAAAATGTTTAAACTCTGACTTTACCTTCAAAGACATCTAAGTTGACTTAGCATAGTTATAAATGAAGATAATTATAATTATTAGTGCTGATCATTCCATCATTGCTCAGTAGCTGTAATAACTTTAAATCAGTGGCAAAGTTTGTCATTGTGTGGAGAAAGTCAACATGTCACTGGGCCCCATGGCTAAGCTCAGTTATAAAACATGCAAAAGTTGCAGAATGGTCCATAAACTAAAGCTTTCAAGTACAAACCCCCTCTCATTATAAACAAGCAGGACTTGTAAACAGGTTGTCTCACCTGTACAGAGCGTGCCGGCAGGCTCTCATAGGTCCCACTGAACTCTCTGGCAGGGGCCCTCCGTGGAGGCGGGGAATGCATCCCGGCCCGCTGATTGGCCGACGGTGGCGAGCTGGGGATGCCGATTGAGTGGTGGTTATCTGTAACTGATGGGAAGAATAATCAGACTGAGTGTGTAAAAACATGACAAACACGGGCACCACATTACAATTTAGAAAATGAAGTGGCAAACATCACAAGTTCAGAGCACAGCTTGAAAACACTTCAGAGCACTCACAGCATGCTCTCGTTGGCAACTGGGGGAAAAAAAGTTGGTCTTAGTCGCTAAAACAATGTCGATTAGGAAATGCTGCCAATGAAGAGTTTACAGTGAGTTCATTATAATAATATTCACTTTTAGTTCCATATGGCAACAATTTAATAGCTGCTTTTGGAAAAAACAACTTTCTTTTCTTTTGTTCTAACACACTTCCTTTATCATGATATGTTGTCGGTTTTGGGGTCATGCGACCTCCCATTAATCTTTTTTCATAACCGCAAAATGACAGTTAGCGCACGAAACGTGCTGTTCTTTTACATCTGGCATGAGAAAGACTCATAAGATGTCAATCAAAATACTGGGAACACATTTTGTGGCAAGAAGAGATTCTTTTTTTGTTTTATCATCAACATGCCTTCATCATTCATTACACATCAACTCTCCTTGATATACTGATCGATGCCATATGGAAAACGCATGCAACTGGAACTTTTGCTCAAGGAGTGCACACTCAATGTCTCAAGTTCAACATTTTTGTCACTTTTAATGTAAAGGAGTAGCTTGACTTTTGGCGGAATATAAGTGTTAATTTTCATCCTGAGTGCTAGATGAAAAGATTGATACCACTCTCATATCTGTAGGGTAAATATGAGCCAGAGCCAAGAGACGCTTAGCTTAGCATAAAGACTGGAACAGAGGGAAACAGCTAGCATGGCTCTATTGGAAATTTACAAAATCCCTTTACCAGGACCTTTAAAGCTCACTGATTAACTCAATATTACTCGTTTGTTTAATCCGTACAAAAAACCAAAGTGTAAAAAATTACATTGTGGTTTTAGAGGTGATTTTGGCCTTTATGCTAAGCTAAGCTAACCAGCTGATGGTGGTAGTTTCATATTTAGACATGAGAGTGAATCAATCTCTCAGCAAGAAAGCAAACAAATATTTCCCAAAATGTTCCTTTGAATACATTTATATTGAATTACATGAATACTAACTTTGTTTAAATTGTTATTAATTACTTTTTATATTGTTATTTGTATCACCTCAAATGCATGAACACATTTGTATTCTATGACAACACAGCACAGAAAATTGTAAATCGGAAATTTCTAAAATCTGCTCAGGAATATTAAAAGTATACTGTACATCACATTAATAAAAATAACTGCATGACATAGTCGAATCTGGTTTTATATTACTGTCATATGGAAACAATTTAATAAACACCTTTTTAAAATCTACTTTGAGTGTTAAGAACTATGATAATACATACTTTCCATTTATTATTGTAACTAAAAGGCTGAAGTGGGAATTGTAACCAAACATTTGGCTCATTGATCCAAATCTCACACCACTAAGAACAAACCCAACTCTTCTGCTAATCTTGACTGATGATTTGGGGCTTTTCCCCATCTCCGTTTTAAACAATTTCAACAATCATTCGAATGGGGATAAAACCCCTGAAGACCACAGTCCTCACCACAACATTTCCCCAGCGTGGTGTGGTCGGCCTCCAAAACGAAGCCAAACAGTAGTTACTCTGTAATGAGCGAGGCTCCAACTGGTCATTGTTGCGCTGCAGTGGCGACGGGACCTACAGGCAAATTTTGGGCAACGCTGACACACAACAGCAACTGCCAACAAATTAAGACTCGGGGTGAAAAATCTCTTCAAATGTTTCCTGGCAACAGAGATATTTCCAAGTGGTTAAAGCTGCAGTGCTGAGGCAACTTCTCTTTTCACATGAAACAATGATTCAGATGTTTTTGTGCAGACCAGCAGAAAAGTTTACGAGCCACGAAAATGTACCTAACACTTATTGAACACAATAAAGATAATCTCAAGTAATATTTTATTTTGTGTCCTGAGGTGAACCTTTCACAAAAAATAAAAGAAGAACATCACAAGGGGTCGCAAGATGATTAACAGGACAACAAAGCAAAAACTATATATATTTGCTGCACTGGACACAAACGTTAACAGTAGTTTTTCAGGCTTTTCTTGCTTTTTTCTTTTAAAACAATGGATCATTTTGCCTCTTCAGGGATCTAATAATCAGGAAACAATAATCCACTGTGCTCAGACCAGCAGGAGAGTTGCTCACTGCCCAATGTACCTTACAGTTATTGTACACTATCAGTTTTTCCCTTCCTTTTGGAAAGCCTCATCTTAAAGGTGCAGTGTTCAGGATTTGGGCAACATCTAGTGGTGAGTTTGCAGATTGCAACCAACAGAAACTTCTCCTGTGTACCAAGCGTATAGGAGAATTTGACCCTGTCTAGAGCCATTGTTTGGTTTGTCCATTCTGGGCTACTGTAGAAACATGGTGTCCGTCTCCGTGAAGGGGACCAGCTCCTTATGTAGATACAAACGCTTATTGTAAGGTAACAAAAAGAAGAGACAACAGTTCTTGGTTTCAGGTGATTATACACTTAAGAAAAAATTCTCATTATTATATTCCATTTCTTTATCCCCCTAAATGCTATTGTCCTTAAGTCTAACATGTTTAGTACACTGTAAACAATTTACAGTGTAATACTTTTTTCTGTGCCCTGAGGTGAACCTCTTATGAGTAGTGAGACTTCCCAACCTGGGGGTCAAGGGGTCTTAACTTAAATATGAGTGGTCCTGAGATGATGAACAGGATAAGAAAGCTGAAAAAGACACATTTCTGCTTTCAGACTTCTCTCTAATGGTTGCTTTTTTTTTGAGAATTACTGAATAATTTTAAGAATGCCTTGGACAGTCCTCAATTATTGGACATGACATAACTCCACCACATTAAGTACAGTTTTTTCATCAATGTTGTTATAAAAGTATAATTTACCTTCATAAAGTCATCTCGTACTGCCGACTGAGTTTTAAACACCACAACAATCTGTCGCCGCATGTTAATATAAAACTGATTCCAATGAGTACCTTGAAGTACAGATCTCAAATTTGGGGGAAAGTGGAGCACTTGTATTGGATTGGTACTCTTTATCCACAGACATTCTGATTTGAGGTGTCAGAAAAGAAAATAGGTGGATCGGTAAAGCCATACATTTGACCTCTTTAGGCATCTAAAAGTCATTAAAAAAAAAATGTTGACATGTCGAACCGTGACCAGAGGTGGCAAGTCCACATTGCTTTGTTGTATACCACTGGTTTGCATGAACAGATATGGAGAGCTGAGGACATACATCTTAATACCAGAGGTGCTGCTGCCACCAAAGAGTCAGGAGAAATGACAAAACTCTGCAGTGATGTTCCAAAAAGTTCAAAGTTATCACCAGAATTGCTCTCTTGTTTCTCCTGTATTTCACTTCCATGCCTTGGGTGTGGTAATACAACTGAATAACAGTGTGGGCGGGAAACAAATAAGAGAGTGGATTTGAGGATACAAGGTGTGTTCGTGCTTGTTTGTCTGTGCGTGTG